GACCAGGCGCAGAGGTTGGGTGGAGGAGCGTTTGGTTACTTTTCAGTGTGACTTCGTACTGGAGCTTGCAATAAATATACCTTCTATGGTATATGGGAGCAAAAAGTGTTCTGTCGTTCTCGAATTATGTGTACGTGAACCAGTCCGTGCGCAACATCGTTCCTGATAAAAAAGTTTATGATAAACTTCGCAAATTAGTTTAAATGCCGTTTAACGTTTCACTATTAATATCATTATTTAGTTTGATGATCAGTATATTTTAAATTTATTTACCAGTCTTTGGCACCTATAAACGTGGAAGTCTTACAGCAACAAATATCATCATTGATTGTCTGGCCTCCTCCTGTGTCAGACATTATCTTAATTTAAATCTCCACTAAAATTATTGTTTACTTATATAATTTCCCTCTGATAAATCCAATACACATTTTATGCTCCTCTCAAACTTACAGCCACCCGTTATTTCACGTATACAAATGAAACCTTCATTTCCATTTACTTCTTCAGTTTTATGTTCAGTCTATTAACAAAACTTACTATCAAATAACATTTTATTTTGTGCACTTAGATATATTGCTTCATTTTCTCTTCTCAGTAGCCACGTGTGCTGCTGTACTCTTCTTTTCATCCCGTTGTGTGGATCCACCTCCTTTAGGGTCGTCAGATTCATGAGATTCATTAAAGCTTCCCCGGGGAACATGAGCGACAGAAGGTGCCATCCATTGCACGTTCAAACTTTCACCAACTTTAGTGCAGCGGCCACCGTGGCGGAAGACCTGGACTCCCCAAGAAATATGCTTTCCATTTTCTTTTTCCCGTCTTTTCTTGCTACTCTCACTTTGCCTTACATTATTATTCATCATTATCTTTTACTATATTTCTTCACTATCTCTTTTATATTCCCCTTTTCATCTTAGTGCCTATTTTTACTTAGTATTTGTCTCATCTGATATAATACCTTCCCCCTGATGGTACTAAATGCGGCACCACCAACTCCGTCATCATGCGCCAAATTCGACTATACTGTGCTTATGAGTCGAACACTCCACACTGTAACGTTTGGAGGAACACAGCGCAAGAAGGTGTTAAGACATTCAAGTTAGTTCGATTAAATGCCAAGGCAGAGAATTGCCAGCACCGGAAAGACTCTGCGACCGCGTCTCCTGCACTAGATGTAGCCTCCACACGTGCATTATCGGCCTCTCGAGCCACCTCAGAGCTCGCCAAAGAGAGAGAGAGAGAGAGAGAGAGAGAGAGAGAGAGAGAGAGAGTGTGGGGGGTAAAAACAACAGTATGGAGCAAAGAGAGAGGGAGAGGATGTGTGAGCAAAGTAAAAGTGAGAGGGGATGAGAGAGTAGCTGTGTTAGGAAGATGCGGGTGAGAGAGAGAGTGGTTGGGGCAGAAAGGAGTCTTGCACCATGTAATATGCAGCGTTATGGTGGCCATAAATCAGGTCGAGCCTGCATGGCCGGGCTCCTGCCTGAGTGTTATGGATCCATATCTTTACCTTGTTACTCGTGACGGGGTCCAAGTGCCACCAAAATTGTCAATAAAGTGTTGGTTGGCTGATTGATATTCTCGTCACAGCCTTTATATCCTTCTTGTCAGATATATTAAGAGAGCAAGTATTTCCCCTCGATCTGTCTGTGGTCCCTATTGCCGCCTCCTCCCCCTGACACAACGATAACACTGCGTCTTATCTCGTCATTAACACATTTCCACGAGCTGGTAACAGGAAGGTCTTCAAACCCCTCCTTTTATAGCACTCTCCCTTATACCCTCACGTACCCATCAGTTGATTGATTTATTCGTTTTATTAAAATTAGTAGATATTTGTTTATCCTAAACCCGTCCGAAATTGGACTAGTGATGCAAGTAAAATCAAATTAATTTAGAAAAAAATATCTTCCTGTGAATTGGTTTACACGCTTTACTGCTTCCTGTATAAATGTTAACTTGGAATATCTGAGGAATAAATAAATTATGCAAATCATATTTGTACAAAATACGATAACCTTTTTAATACATTCAGTTTCATGGAAGTTATATCGTATATGGTAAAATTTGCTCTCTTTCATTCAAGGCGTCGTTTACCATCACACGATAGCCACTTTATACCAAATAAGGTTAAATAAGCATAGGGTGGGTTAAGTTACGTCTGAACCTATTCATTTATATGTATTACGGTGATATACATGATTTTCTATGGCCAGTTAGAAGTTTAAAAAATACATGAAAGTTATCACTTCTTCACATTCATCCCTATTTACCTTAATAAGTTGTCATGTTTCGATAACAAGGTTCTGTTTACCAACCTGCCAGAGGATGGGGCTATACAGGCAGTGAGATGGGCGGTAGAAAGCTTAAACGCAGTACAATAGATAATACCCCATAGTCTGCATAGGGAGGAAGCCTGGCTCACAGATAATACAGATATATAAATAAAAATATAAAGCACGTTCATGTGACCACCTCCCCCCCCCCTCCCCAATTTTGTTTACATAATATAAAAAGTTAGGTAAGTCCCAAAAGGTTAGAAATATATATACAAAAATACACAACACAAAAGGAAAAAGAATAACATAAACCTAACTTAATATTAAGAAGTTACCTTAACATTAAACTCTATGTGTTGCAGCTCTTATTCTATAAAGGTGAGAGGAGTGTGATCAGTGAGAACTGTTATTAGGTAAGAACTTATGGATAGAAACATTCTAAACTTTTCATGGGCTAAGACAATTCCTAATGCCTCCTTTTCTACGGTTGCGTATACCCTTCCATAACACTTAAATTTATGAGTGAGATAGCAAATAGGGTTTAACATTTTATCGGAGTCCTCTCGTAGGAGTATGGCACCAACACCATAATTATCAGCATTGTGGTGGGGAAGAGACGTATTCCGAAGATCTGGCACTTGAAGCACAAGGGTACTCGCCACGCGTATCCTTTGAAGGGCCCTCTGACAATCATCTGTCCAAAGAAAGACGCCTTTTGAGCTGAAACGGTCAGTAAGAGGAGCAGCAACCTGGGAGAAATTCCGACGAAAATGGCGGTAATAGCCAGCCATGTTGAGAAACCACATCACTCTTGTCGAGATATTCAACAAAAGGAGGTGCGTCATTAACACTTGTATCATCCACTCCAATGGCTGTTACCATTGCTACATTATCTTTACTAATCACATTCAACTCACCACTATCCCTAGCATAGTACTTCTTCAAGAGGTTTACACGAGCATGACGCCTTTTCTTGCGCCTCTCTGGGGTTTATTGACATAATTAACATCCCCCAAGACGCTGTACTACACGATAAGGACCAGAGTACTGGGACTGAAGAGGTTGCTTAGGTAAGGGTAGCAGGGCTAAGGTCTGATCACCTTCCTTAAAAGTTCGAAACTGCACCTTATTAACTTTATCAAACTTATTTTTCATACTCACCTGAGCCTTAGCCAGGTGAACATGAGCAGCTCTAACAACTAGCTCTAGGTGCTCCTTAAATTTAAGAACTTATGCAGTAATTGGAACAGAATCCTTCTCACTTAGCCAGCACTCCTTATGGACCTTTAAGGGTCCTCTAACCTTATGTTCATAAATCAATTGAAAACGTATAAACCCTAAACTTTTCTGCGCACTGTCCCTCTCGGAGAAGAACTAAATCTCAATGCCTTCATCCCAGCCCTCACCCTTCTCTAAGCAAAAGGCTCTAATCATTGTTTCAAGGGTGTGGTGGAAGCGTTCTACAACTCCCTGACTTTTAGGGTGGAAAGCCATCGAGCGACACTGATGGAATCGCAAGGTTTTCATTTCCTGTCCGAACTCAGAGGTAAAATTTGACCCCTGGTCTGACTGCACAGTGGCAAGCAGACCAACATGTATGGAAAACTTCATCAGGCCCGAACAACACTCCTCGTAAAAATATTCCGAAAGAGGATGGCCTCGGGATATCGGGTAGGAACATTAATGATGGTTAGCAGGAATTAATGACCTCGTCTAGTCTTGAGCATCGGTGCCACATAATCGATGACTACGACGGGAAACAGTGATATGTTGACACTGGGTCTTATGGTGAGGCAGATCATATGAGGCAACATAAGGTAGTAGTTTGATTATGGGCAGGGCGAAGGTCGGGACTCCTAGCAGGCAGATGATGAGTTTAGTCAACATCCCTCCAGCTATCTAGAAGCGGTCGGCTGACGTTTACTCGTCTCGATTATTTGTATGCACACCTCGCCAAAGTTCATTAAGTTAATCGGTTTTCTGACTTCCTGGTCCCTTAGAGGGAGGGTTACGTTGAACCACTTCCATTAATAATAATTAGCAGGAGACTGAGCGTGTGTTCATGCCTATGAATCCTGCTTTAACTTAAGTCACTGTGAGCACGAGGCAGCTTGTTTGGACTTTACCGACACAATGTATTGTAACTAAAATTTGAATCAGTGTCATAAAGCGTTTGAGTGAATGTTGAAATACTTCACCATTAAATATTTTTTAACTTAGAAAATTATGTAGGGCGTTGTCAGACACATTTGTTTAACATAATCAATGAGTTGGATACATCAATTTGGGTGCTTAATAACATCATACGAACTATAACGTGATTTTGTTTTACCGTCACAGTTAGTAATGAAACTGGTGATTTTAAATGGTAATATATGAAAATCCAGGTTGATGCATTAGCAAATGTTTAGAACATTCAGGTTGAATTAATATTCAGTAATTCCGCCATTAGGTAAATTATGCAAATATTTTAAAGGATTTAAATGATTCCTTGGCATAATTTTGACCCAACTTATGTTTATGAGTAAGATAACACAATATAGTATAACACACTAGTACGGAGGTCTGTCTCTTACCGTCACTCTGATTGGACTCTAACCCCGGGAGTACGATGAATTAACCCCATGAGTACAGCATCATCGTATTCAAACAGTTGACACCATGCTCAAGAGATTAAGTCATTGTTCTTAAGGGCTTGTAATAATGGGTTTAAAGAGCTGTATGTCAGCACAACGAGGGTGACGGCGCCAGGGAGCACACAACGAGGGTGACGGCGCCAGGGAGCACACAACGAGGGTGACGGCGCCAGGGAGCACACAACGAGGGTGACGGCGCCAGGGAGCACACAACGAGGGTGACGGCGCCAGGGAGCACACAACGGCGCCAGGGATGACGGCGCCAGGAGCACACAACGAGGTGACGGCGCCAGGAGCACATAACGCGGCGCCAGGAGCACACAACGAGGGTGACGGTGCCAGGGAGCACACAACGAGGGGTGACGGCGCCAGGAGCACACAACGAGGGTGACGGCGCCAGGGAGCACACACGAGGGTGACGGCGCCAGGGAGCACACAACGAGGGTGACGGCGCCAGGGAGCACACAACGAGGGTGACGGCGCCAGGGAGCACACAACGAGGGTGACGGGCGCCAGGAGCACACAGCGAGGGTGACGGCGCCAGGGAGCACACAACGAGGGTGACGGCGCCAGGGAGCACACAACGAGGATGACGGCGCCAGGGAGCACACAACGAGGATGACGGCGCCAGGGAGCACACAACGAGGATGACGGCGCCAGGGAGCACACAGCGAGGATGACGGCGCCAGGGAGCACACAACGAGGATGACGGCGCCAGGGAGCACACAGCGAGGGTGACGGCGCCAGGGAGCACACAACGAGGGTGACGGCGCCAGGAGCACACAACGAGGGTGACGGCGCCAGAGCGAGGATGACGGCGCCAGGGAGCACACAACGAGGATGACGGCGCCAGGGAGCACACAACGAGGGTGACGGCGCCAGGGAGCACACAACGAGGATGACGGCGCCAGGGAGCACACAACGAGGATGACGGCGCCAGGGAGCACACAACGAGGGTGACGGCGCCAGGGAGCACACAACGAGGGTGACGGCGCCAGGGAGCACACAACGAGGATGTCGACAAGATTAGACACTACAGAACAGAGAACAGCATTCGTGAATCAACTGTAATATTTATGTAATTTTAGTAAGTTGTAATACATGTAACTGACGTATATTAGGGGAATAAAGAGAGAAAGTGAGAAAATATCACGTGAGAAGGACTGTATGTAATTATCTCCTGCCCATATAATGACCATAGTCCTTGTATTGTGTATGGTGGTCCCTGTGTCACTGGTCAATTACCTCATCAAGGACAACTGGCAACTGACACTTATATAATTACGAAATCAATTTACACAAAATGTCATAATATATTATTCAGAGTTATTGAAATGTTTTTACACGGTGTTATGAACTGTGTGTTTTATAATACTACACTTTATGGATGTTAATAATTGTTTTCCTTGATATTGTATTGATGAATTATATTGTCCCTTATAATTGCTCTTCATTGCAGTATTATTATATGTATTAGGTAATGTTACTATCAATCATCACCCTCCCTCTCCATCATCCGCCCTCTCCATCACCCTCCCTCTCTATCATCCTCCCTCTCCACCATCCTCCCTCTCCACCATCCTCCCTACCCACCATCCTCCCTCTCCATCATTCTCCCTCTCCACCATCCTCCCACTCCACCATCCTCCTTCTCCATCATCCGCCCTCCACCATTCCCTCCCTTCTCATCATCCTCCCTCTCCACCATCCTCCTCTCCACCATCCTCCCTCCATCATTCTCCTCCCTCTCACCATCCTCCCACTCCACCATCCTCCCTCCACCATCCTCCCTACCCACCATCCTCCTCCACCTCGCCATCCTCCCTCTCCATCCACCATCCTCCCTCCACCTCCTTCCATCATTCCTCCTCTCCACCATCCTCCCACTCCACCATCCTCCCTCCATCATCCTCCCTCCCCACATCCTCCACCATCCTCCCTCTCCATCATCCTCCCTTCCTACCATCCCCTCTCCATCATCCTCCTCTCCACTATCCTCCCTCTCCATCCTCCCTCCACTCCCTCCCACCATCCATCCTCCCTCCATCATCCTCTCCCTCTCCACCATCCTCCTCCCTCTCCACCATCCTCCCTCCACCATCCTCCCTCCATCATCCTCCTCTCCACTATCCTCCCTCCACCATCCCTCCCTCCACCATCCTCCTCTCCACTATCCTCCCTCTCCACCATCCTCCTCTCCACCATCCTCCCTCTCCATCATCCCTCCTCCACCATCCTCCCTCCACCATCCTCCCTCTCCATCATCCCTCCCTCTCCACCATCCTCCCTCCCCATCACCCTCCCTCCCCACCATCCTCCCTCCCCACCATCCTCCCTCTCCACCATCCTCCCTCTCCATCATCCTCCTCTCCACCATCCTCCCTCCCCATCACCCTCCTCCCCCACCATCCTCCCTCCCCACCATCCTCCCTCCCCACCATCCTCCCTCTCCATCACCCTCCCTCTCCACCATCCGCCCTCTCCATCATCCTCCCTCCCCACCATCCTCCCTCTCCATCACCCTCCCTCTCCATCACCCTCCCTCTCCATCACCCTCCCTCTCCATCATCCTCCCTCCCCATCAACTTGGTCATCAGCTTAACCCTCCACACAGATTACTGGCCCCGATAATATGGTTACTGCGCTAATTATAAGTTTGATGTGCAGTTAGCGGCATAATATTCTTCTTAAGGAGGCGATATTGAAAACGACAAACTTGATAGATTAATTATAGTTTCGACACTATTCTCGGAAGGGTTGATGTAAGTTCCTGGTTAGACGGGCCCTTTAGTCCTGTTGGGCCCTAACCTAACCTAACCTAACCTAACCGAACCAGGAAGATCGGGCACCTTATGTTTTCTTTGTACTGTTTAATAGTCAAATAATTCGTTTTCTTGTTCACAATATATAATGACATTGTAAGAAGACAAAATTATCCAGTGTGTAAGGCTCACCACTGGTCACCACTATATCTCCTTAGGCTCTTGGCTGCTTCTTCAATGTGTATTAATCAGGTGATGTTATCAGTGAGTCTTGTGTGTCAGACTCCTTGTGCAGGCGCTAATATTTCTCAAGTAAATTTAGAAAAAAAGGCCATGAACAGGTCATTAACACGTTGAAAGGAGGAGAAGGCGAACATTCCTTTAGACATTTTAAAAGTAAATTTAATACTTTATGGTTCAGTCTGCCTTATCTCTTATAGTTATTCGTCTCACTGCACTTTGTAGACCTTGACTCGAAAACGTTTTACAGTAGTTCTCTTCTCTTCAGTCGATTATATAATTATTATCAATCTTATACAATCACAAACGTGTAAAAAATGTCTCGTCAATTCAGTCTTAAGCCACCGTGAAAAATATGGCAATTGTTCTTGTACTGTGTTGAATAATTTACCCATAACTATATAATTATACAGGTTTTCACAACAATGGGGAAACAAAATTAGCCACATTGTTAGGTTAGGTTAGGTTAGGTTAGGTGTCGAGGGTTCCACCAGCAACTTTGTCCAAGGCTGCCGTCACGTCCAGTGCAATACATAGAAATTTTATTATTTAACACCTTCAAGCAACGGTGATATCGCTTGGCATCATAAATTAAACATTTCATAATAATAATAATAATAATAATAATAATAATAATAATAATAATAATAATAATAATAATAATAATAATAATAATAATAATAATAATAGTAATAATAATAATGGTGTTTGTATAGAGATAAAATCCACATATAACGAATAAAAGGAACATTATATACGTCGTGATGATAAAAAACACAAGTGGTGGTGGTATGATTATAGCTATACCAATATTAAGAGTGGTAGCTCCAGGTGAGGCAGGTGGTGGCCACGAGGTAATGTGTTTACCACCGAGCAACAGCGAAACGTTCCAGGGGTGAAGATCTGATCACACTCCAGTAAAACCAATTTTCAAAGAATTTAAGAGAGTTTTTAATAATTGTCGAATATCTGGGTACACTCACGACGATATATCATGCGATTTTAAAAGCACATATACGTGAAGCTGTGCGCTGTAGTGAATACTTAAAAAGCGCTTCAAACATGAGTTCATATTTCGGAAAGATAAAAAGGAAAATATTTGAACATCGATATCTTCCGGATGTGCAATTTAGGTAATGAGAGATAAATTTAGGAAGAAAAAAAAAACTAAAGTTAATTCTCAGAAAAGTCATTTACGCTAAACGCTGAACAGTGTTAAGTTTATCCAATTACTGTGAGGGAGTGGAGCGCTGGGCCCAGTTTTCTGCCCACGCTCCATTACGGGCTGACTAATGAACGCTATATTAGATAAACTCCTCATAATCCTGCTTTATACACCTACAATACTTAGCGAGGAAAAAATTTTAATTACCAGGAGCGAAGAATGTCACTTTATTCTGGAGGCTGGCAGCACAAAAATACTCTTATTGATGGTTGATGGTGGAACTATGCGTGGATACTAGTGTGATTGATGTTCTATGGCGTAGTGTGAAGTCATTACATACAATAAATGTTTGATTTTTGTATTATTTTGTTACTCTGCCAGGAATAAATATATTGCTGGCGCCGTCTACGTCACCATGTGGCTGAAATTGTAGTTTTCAGTTTTGTAGCATTAAACATACTATTGTTAGCATTCAATCAAGGGCCCTTTTGTTGTAATACATAGCTTGTGTTCATCCTGAGAAGACCTCCCAGTACTGACGGAGATGACACAGCTAAGAACTATGTGTGGGTACTTAGCCTTAGACTCTTCACCCTATGAAATACTTTTTTTTTTTTTTTGGTGTTGCTCCTTATAACAATGCCACTTTTTGAAATCGAATCCCGTTGCCGTATTACTGCTGTTGAGATTCCATTTGAGAAAACATACGAATAATATTATAAGAAATTGACACCCTATTGGCAGGTAATGATCCGGCAGTTAAAAGCTGACTAACATAGGTCCCCAAATTTATTTTGATATTCCGTACCTTGAAAATTCGATAAAATTATTATAAGTCACTTTGAAACTATTAACTAATGCTCCTCACTACGAGAGAGAGAGAGAGAGAGAGAGAGAGAGAGAGAGAGAGAGAGAGAGAGAGAGAGAGAGAGAGAGAGAGAGAGAGAGAGAGAGAGCTGAAAATTATCTTAGAATGTATATACTTATTTTCCATGAGAACTAAATCGTATACTGCGGGAAGTATGTGCTCAGCCTCAGTAATGACGCCGCTCCTGCCTGGCTGTCCGCCCTGCCATCTCTTACGAAAATTGCCTTCCCGATATCAGATTCAACTAAAATTCGACACCAAGAAGTTCAATATGATGATTAACGTTCCTAAATTTCTATGTTTCCGTCCAAATATTGTCCTCTGACCAAACATTATTATTAAGACTTTTTCCATAATACTCCTGAAGTTGCAAATGATGATCAAGTTGCCGGGAATAATATGTTGCTGTTTTACTTCACTACTGTAGGTCAACCCGCCTCATGGCTTCAGTGATCATGTTGATATCCAGGTGTCACTACTGCTTGCCTCTCTGTTAGGTGTTACGACTTTATATTAGCGAACTACTTCTTTTAACGTTAAACTTAAGATCTGTTGTTGATATTGTGTGTGTCAGACTCTGGTGTCTCACGCTGTGTTGCTGGTTAATGAGGCCTCTATATCTTCCTCTATATCATTCATCCATTTATCATTATCATTATTCTTATTAGTGTTAAAATATTTTGTTTTATATGCATACATTTGATTGCTTAATCATGCCTTGTTAATTCTATTAGCATGATAGAGTCTAACCTCTATAAAATCTCTCGCTCTTACCTGTAATATCTGGTATATAAGCTAATTATAATAGAAAACTAATTAAATATAATTGTAGGTAATTTGAATATCAGATCACTTGGCCAGCAGTTCGTCACAAGCAGCTTTTAAGCCTCTTATTTAAAACCCGAGAGCCAATTATGAGATTAATTACGACAGATCAAGTGGGTGTCACAGAGTGGGCGTTAATTATAGTGACCTTAACCAAAGGCCACCTACCACACTGGTGTACTCTAGTGACCTTAACCACAGGCCACCTACCACACTGGTCTACTCTAGTGACCTTAACCACAGGCCACCTACCACACTGGTCTACTCTAGTGACCTTAACCACAGGCCACCTACCACACTGGTCTACTCCAGTGACCCTAACCACAGGCCACCTACCACACTGGTCTACTCTTCTGCATGATACAAACATTTATTGTTCTTATTAAGTATAATTGTATATTTTCTTGAACACGTTAAAGGTATAACTAATAACTATTTTATAAGAGTCTTGTCTTTTCTCAGGTATTTAATTCCATGAATGATGACGAAGCTGAATGTTGAATGTAAGACATGATCTGTACACCTCTTATTCACAGTTGAATAGTTGTTCATAATTCGTCACTTTTTTGTGTCAGTTCACTGATCTAGCCTAGGGCCATGAGGAACCCAGTTATCATGTTTTACCGCAAGGAGGCACAGCAGGAGTCTTGATGGTGAAGAGGCTGTGTACTGACAGGGGAAGACTTACGCAAGGCTGCTTCCCTGTTCACCACGAGGGCTAGCCAGCAGTAGTAGCTGAAAGCGAGATGTAACAAGCGATGCATGTACTTTAACAGTAACATAATGCTGACACAGTAGATGCATTACACCACCCTGTGCACACCCCCCCCCACACACATTCCTCATATGATTCTTGAGTTGTGTTTAGTTCAGCTTCAGTACCTCCCAGTTTCTCTCTCTTTACAAACGTTTTCCGATGAACCTTTCCCAAGACAAAAGCCTGCAGGAGGAGGTCATTCAGGAGGGAGGAGGGAGGGGGTGTGTCATGGTCTTGTGCCTCCAGATGTCAGGGATAAGTTTACAATGGCAGGTTCCGTAACACAGAGGTAAAGGGAAAGTGTCCTAGAGATTGTAAAATAAAATAAACAAATGAAGTTAAAGACACCATACAAAAATTTAATGTGGTTTTACATGCTGTCCGCTGCCGGGGATTATCATGTTGGCAAATTTGCACTGAGTCAACTGTAGAGGAAAGAACTACAGATTTGGAAGTAATTTTTTTTAAAGGTGTAGTAGCGACCTAGTTAAAATATTTAAGTTGGCAACAGTAAAAGAAGCGACCAGAGACGAAGATCAAGGTGGATAAAAAGAGAAATTTCCACACAAAATAAAAAAAAGAGAACGATGAAGAGGGTAAAGAATTAGGTGGTTAACAAAATCACCAGATAAAGGTTTAAATCTTATTGTTTAGGAGAATACGATACTGCTGAAAACTGAACTTGGAGAAGAGGTGAAGCAAACATGATGAAAGAGACGCCGTTAGATGTCATTACGTGACCCGGGCAGCCAGTGTTTGGATCATGTGAACGAGACAACAGAGAGTTACGATGTGAAGCCTACAAGAGAACCGGTCCCTGGAAAATCGTGTTCTTTTGATACTTTTGACCCCATGAATACGATGACATTGTATTCAGTGGCATAAGTCAAGGCTGTTCTTAAGCAACGTGTACTGAAGATCTCCACACCACTTCTCGACCCCACATACCGACACACAGTCACGGCTACTTAACTCCTTCTGGTCGTGACTCACTCTTGTCTCCCGTCCAGTAAACTTTGTTGTAATAATGATAAAAGACATTAATAAGGGCGTGACGGAGGCTCATCTTGCCAAGTTTAATAGTCTCAACCTTCAACACAAGTTTGCTGGCGACCTGACTTGGGAAGAGAAGAGGCAGAGGTCATTGGAAAGAGAACATGAGGTATTAGGAAGTTTTTTCTTGACACTTGCTCATGGTTTAATTACTGTGGATGATGTAATTACTTAAGAATAATGTATATAACCTACATTAATATCTGTTTGATTGTCTGTTTGAGAGGGGCTATAATACACTCTAATCATCCTTCCCTCTCATTATCATTTCCTCTTATCATTCTTCTCCCTCACCATTCATCCCTCTCACAACCTTTCCTTCTTACTGCCTCTCCTTCCTCAACACCTCCGCAAAGTTCCTCCTCCTTTTCCTCACACATCGCCAGTGGCATTCCTCTCCTTCGCCCCTTCCATGACCTTCCCTTCCTCTCATCGCCTCTCTCACTTACTTCCTCCCTTTCTCATTGCCCCTCCCTCTCACCTTCCATGACCTTCCCTCCCTCTCATTGTCTCCCCTTTTCACCGTCCACCTCACTTACCTCCTCCCCTCTCATCGTCCTTCCCTCTCATCGTCCTTCCCTCTCATCGTCCTTCTATCTAACCGCTACTTCCACATACCTCCCTTCCACTCATCGTCTCTTCCTCTCATCGCCTCTCCCCTACTTACTTCCTCACCCCACTCATCGTCCCCTCCTATCACCCCCTCACCCCCTCCCCCACTCATCGCTTCACCAATATCATCTCCCCTCTCGTTATCTCTTAAAGACAAATTGATGACGCAAATAAAACTTTCTTTATTTCTTTTTCTTTAAATTTTCTCCCGAGATCGCGATTAATTTCTCTAAAAAAAAAAATTGGAAGAGTTGAGAGAATGATAAAATGTGGTAATGGAGGAGTAATTGCTTGACGATGAGGAGGAAGACGGCACGAGGAGAAAATTGATAATCTATGAAAGAATTATGGGTCTAGCGTTCTTGGGGTGCCCGAGGGAAGGATTACCTCATTATTGACAGAGATAATTTCACTGCGACTCTCTCTGTCTCTCTGTCTCTGTCTCTCTTGAAGACTGTAGGAGATGTGATGATCATTATTGAAGGAAGGTAGTTTAGGAGCTATATGGTTGAAGGGTTGGAGGGATCATTTTACTTAGATGGTGGAGACACGATGCTCAGTGCCAGAGGAAGGAAGTGGAGAGTTACCGCCCTGAAGTGTTGGAGATAAGCATTTAGTGATAAGTGGAATGAAGTGGAGGTGGAGGATTACATATTACTGAAGTGTTGGAGGTATGATGATCAGTGTCGGAGGTATAGTGTGGAGGTATAGTGTCCTAGTGTTAAAGAAGGTATTGTGCTCTCAGTGTTGAAGGAAGAAGGACGTGAAGTAAATATGAAGTTATGGGCCACTGGTGGTGTGAGTGTTTCCCTACAGGTTAAAGTTATGTATATGCAATAAATTTTGAGGGTGGAAGGCCGTCGAACGACACTGAAAGACCCCCAAGGTTTTCATTACCTGTCCGAAGAACCTAAAGGTAAAATTTGACCCCTGATCCGACTACACAGTGGCAGACAGACCAACCTGTATGGCAAATTTGATCAGGCCTAAACAACACTCTTCGTGGTAATATTCCAGAGAGAAATGGACTCGAGATATCGGTTAGCAGGAATTAATGACCTCGTCTACTCTTGATTAGCGGTCCTACACATTCTATGACTACTCTACTGAAAGGTTTGGTGCCAGTCCCTTATTTACCAACCCGTGTATAGTTTAAGGGGGGTTATAATATGGGACATTACACCCGGGTTAACACCAGAGGGAGAGAGTGGATTGACGACGATGCTTGTAACAGTTGGAAGTGGAAGAGGCTGTACCTGGTTAGCAAAAATTAAATACAAATAACGAGCTTTGTTTGCGTGATTTAATAGTGAAGGTGTTAACTGATAAATGATGATAATGAAAGTATTAGGTGATATATGGTTTGTGAAGCGGGTTCCTGTATCAATGTTAATATACAAACACATCAAAGTTTTAAGAACGTAAAAGTTAGTTCACAAATGTTTTCTTTCATCAGTAATTTATGAAAAGTGAAAACAAATACCGCTCAAGTTTTTATCTTTCTTCTGGTTATTAATTCAAGTAATTTAACGTGATCTAAATTTACCAATTAATAACCAAATTCCTTTTTTTAATAATACATAAATAAACTCCAAGATTTCTCTAATGACAGTGATGATATAACTCACTACCACATACTATAGGGCGCCAGTCACCACACCGTCTACCTCGAAACATCTTACAAAAAAACAATTGCATCAAATACAACAAAATTTGTATTGTAATTATCGAGACACACACACACACACACACACACACACACTCGAGAATAATTTGTCGTAAGTATACATTTTCTGAATCATTTTACTCTTAATTTCATTTTAATTTCCTTTTACTTTTAAGCAATTGATAATTTAATTTCTTATTCGACAAAATACATTCAAAGTTTTAACTCTTTGCTTTCGATATTCAAGATTCGTCACACGCAACAATAGAACAAAAGTACTTTACGACTACAATATTTTCCGTGTTATAAAAGATCGAACCTTGTACACCTGCCCCGGTGTACCGAGCATAGGGAGGGAAGGGAAGGGAGGGAGGGAGGGAGGGAAGGGAAGGGAGGGAGGAGGAGGGAGGGAGGGAGGAGGGAGGGTTAAGAAAATTACTAATGGCCTGAATACAAAAGCTAATACATCATAATTTCAATGGAGTCATTAGAATTATTTAATGGTCACTTACTGGCTTAATTGCGCTATAAACATCACTCTAAGGGGGAAAAAAGCGGAGCCGTAATTCTTCCTGCAATAATAAACATTTCGAGGAACAGCAGCAAGAGGGGATCGATCACCTGCCAAGGCATGACGTCCTGTGACTAATACCTGCAGCAGGACGCCACGACACTGGGGGCACTGTACCGTTGCTACCTGGGTCACACACCTTACCTAGCATAATGCGGACAACCTCACCATTCATAATAGCCATAGGGAGTACTTTACTGTAGTAGCTATAGGGAGCACTTTACTTTAGTAGTTATAGGGAGCACTTTACTTTAGTAGCTATAGGGAACACTTTACTGTAATGGCAATAAGGAGCGCTTTACTTTAGTAGCTATAGGAAGCACTTTACTGTAGTAGCCATAGGAAGCACTTTACTGTAGTAGCCATAGGAAGCACTTTACTGTAGTAGCCATAGGGAGTACTTTGCTTTAGTAGCTATAGGAAGAACTGTGGTAGCTATAGGGAGCATTTACCATTGAAATTCGTTGCAGATTTTCAACAATAGCATTCTCTCTCCCCGCCAGTCACAAAAACGACAGGACACGCCTCGACATTCACGAAAATGGGAGTAAAGCCCACCAATTATGGTGATTACATGAAGGATACCATGAAATTGGGTAATAATAGCTTCGTCATTGCGTTATTGATGACCTGTCATGGTTATAAAGGTGAGCCTTCATCATTCCTGTGTTGGTACAAGTACAAAAAAGTCATAAATCATTGGGAACCCAATGGGTCTTGTTACAGTACCTCAGCAATACTTTCCGTGTCAGCAAAGTTCTTGAACAGCGCTAGCAAATTAAATTTCGTAATATAAAAGAAAAAATTCTTCCGTACACTACCCCGGTAAGGCCACCAGCTGTGAACTATTATCACAAAAAAATAATTAAGTTTTATCAGATGACAAGAAACGTTCATTTATACATGCGATATTTACTCAGTGTAAATAGATTGATTAAACACTTGAATCTTAAAGTGTAGCACACACACATAAGCATATATATATATATATATATATATATATATATATATATATATATATATATATATATATATATATATATATATATATATATATATATATATATATATATATAAAGTATTGATTAATATAGTTAATAAGGTAAATTACATAACACAAGTAAAACACAACTATACAGATATCAAAACACAGAATGTTACCCGATTATTCCTACTTTAAACATTAACTACTATACTATGTACAACAACACAAAGACCTGATAGAAGGGCAGCTCAGGTAACAAGTCTAGGTTGAGATGGCCAACCACAAGGAACCAGGGATTACCGCCGTAGTCCACTACCATCACCAGCAGTAGTCCTTAATACAACTCGTCGTCCACACCCCGGGAGAAGAGGAACACCGCAAGCCGCAGAGAAGAGACTCAGCTTACCAGGCAGACACACTTGTCTCGATACCTCTGTTTCATAGTCAGATGGGAAACTGGTTCTGATCGGTGCTCACTAGGGTCGAGTAGCTTCGTGAAGCAGTTTCTTCTCCT